AAATGAATAAAATCAAACGATTCATCTTCGAAAAGAAAGGGTTTCCGAATGTCGTGAATTTGAAATGTGACATTTGCAAGTTAAATAAAATGCGATCGACAATGATGCGTTAATCGAATCCTGGGATACAGTATTACCATAATTAACCATAATTAGAATCATTTGGTCAGTAAGAAGACAACCTTATTTCGTATAATCTCAATCGTAATCGTAATCGAAACCAATGAAAAAACATATATATATACAACCATTGCTGCTAAAAAAAAAATAAAGCTTTATAACCATATTTTGATACAATATTGAAATTAATCAGGAAAGAATAAGTTCATACAAATTTTACTGAAAAATGAACTCGATTTTAATATTTTATTGGTTTTATTGGTACGATAAAACCCTTGGACAATGTTTATGGTGTACACGAGAAAACGGAAAGTTTATATATAATTCGGATTTATTTATTTCTAAAAATAATTAACAGTTATTTATTAAAAGAAAAACATTGCGGATAAAATTTCCGATGGTAATTAAAGAGTCAACAAACGGATTAATATTTGCATGAAACAACCTCAAAATTAAGCTTATGTGTTTGTCAAAAAAAGAAAAAACTTGCTAAATTAGTTTAGGATTTGTTGTTCACATGCAATTTAAAAAAATAAAACAAGAGTGTCCTTAAAATAGACCCTCGTCTAGACTTTTATTCTAGACGCCCTATATAAATAAATTTTTTAAAGTGGCTAACACGTGATAAATACAATTGTGATCGAGGTTAAGAGCGTAGACCATTGGACAATAATTACTTGTTCAAAATTGATTTTTATATATATTTGTAAAATTTCAATATATATTTTTTAAACTAATTAAAGAGTACGGACAGCGCAGACATGGAAATTGGATAGTCAAAAATCTCAGACATGTAAAACGTGCCACACTGTATTTGAATATATTGTATAAAATAAAGAATTTATTTCTTAATTTAGTCATAATTGTCTTACAAAAAGGTTCAAAATTCATAATCATATTTTTATCCTAACATTCATTTATTACTTTACTTAACATACTTGTTCTATTTTATCTTATTGGATTCCTCGCGCAAGCATATATATATTATTAAATTCGTTGTTTTGGTAGCATAAAAATTTGTTTATCGCACATCGGATTTTTTTCTTTTTTTAATAAATAAATCTAATTGTTACGCATACGTGATTGTAATAAATGTTAATACAAAAAAAAAAAAAAAAAAAGAGCGAACCGAATAAGGTCTCAAGAATGCTAATAAATACTTATTATTGTTCAGAATTATTTGATAGGTTCGAATATCGAGAAACACAAAATGGAAATCGACTAATTCCTAAAGCATCATCATCATTATTATTATTGTTCAAATTCATAATGGAATCTAACATCCCAATATTATTATTATTAGAAATGTTCTGATAATTACTGTTATCTATTATGTCATTCGCGTTTAGAATATTGGTGTTATTACTATTTTCAGATATTTGCATCATATTTTTCATCATGAGATTTTGCAAAAGTATTTGATTATAGTTTTCCAAAAGTTGATCATATGATATAAACTTATTATTTTCGTTAACGTCCATATTATTTGAAAATCCGGAGTTCAGAGGTTGTTGAATTTGTGGTGAATTTGAATTATCCGAGTTTGGGGAAAAATTTTCAACGGGCGAATAAATGGGTGAATAAGTGGGTGAATAAGTGGGTGAATAAGTGGGTGAATAAGTGGGTGAATAAGTGGGTGAATATAATCCGGTTTTCTCATAATCAAAACCATCAAATTGTTCATTCAGATTTGGAATCAAATCGGTATTTTTATTATTATTATTCATAGGTATTAAATCCGGAATAAAATTTTCCGTGGTATTAGTAGTTGTAATTGTTGTTGTTGTTGAAGTGGGATAGGATTCTGTTTGAAAGTTGAACTCATTTGACGAATGAATATCGTACCATTTGGAATCAATGTTTTCTACTTCACTTACTTTTTCAAGAGGAAATGGTAAAAGATTAGGTGACTCTATAATCGAACTTGAATCTGATGATGGTGAAGATAATTCTGGTGTTATTGAGATTAAATCGTTTGAAGATTGTTGTTCGGTTTGAGGTTGAAAAGAGATAATATTCCATCTACTACGTTTCCTCCGGCGTTCTGTTTTTGGATATAATTCATTACGGTATTTATATGCTTCTTTGGCTAGACGTTTGTAATATGATTTAACTGTATCACTTTCATTTTCCCAAGATTTAGAAGTCATTGAAGATATGACAGTCATTGGAAGATGGTAACCGCTATTTCTTGCCGTTTCAACAAAGATTTTACGATATATAATGAATGCATTCGGAGCTCGAGGTGGTTTACCACCATTTACTGGTTTTATTATCAAATCTTTGGCTTCAATTAATGGAGGAAATTCGATTTTTATCGTGGGATGTTCATTGCAATCTTTATTCTCATAAGAAGCCGATTTCTCTAATGCCTTCATTTTCGATATTACAGAAGTATTTAAATCAATAAAAACACAATTTCGAGATGTACTGGAAGTATCTAATTGTTCATTCAAATTACTTGACATTTTTGTCCTTTTTCAAAAAAAAAATTATTTGTAAGAAAAACTATAATCGTTCGTATTTATATAAAAAAAAGTATTTATAATAACTAAGCAAAATTTGTAATAGTTATTGTAAATCATTCCAGATTTGACCGGAAATGACGTAATGATAAATTTCAGTATCACATTTTTTTTTTTAAATCCGAGTATTTCCTGATGTTACACTTCGAGAAGAAGGGACGTGAATATTCTTGAACTTCTTTAATATTTAATAATATTTAAATACCTCACTCTTTTTTTAGCAATAATAAATTTGATTGATGCGATTGAAATTTTTTTATTTGTCGAACAATGGCTTTGGGAACACCTGTTATTGACAGCATGATTAGAATCGAATGAATTATAAATCGCCAAAGAAACATCATGGAATCGGTTAAAAATAACCAATTATTTTTTGATCTAACTTTTTTCTGCAAACAATGTACTCGTGACCAAAGCGCAGGATCAACATTTCAAACACGCGAGTTATCCGCAGACATTTCTTGTGAATTCATGAGGTTTGTTGCTTAGTCATTTTTCTTACTAATCAGCATAAATTATTTATAGCCAAGTTATTAAAAATTGCGGTAATGGTTTATATAACAATGATGAAAACAATTAAATTATTAAAATATTAAAGAAATAAATCTTGAGAGAATGCAGGGATAATTGGCTAATTTTATATCTATTGGTAAAAAAAGTTCTCGGCGCAGTGAATTAATAATTTTTTTCTATTTTAAGAAATGTGCATTATTCTTTATTTTTGATTTTTTTTTGATTTTTTTTTGATTTTTTTTTTGATTTAATCTTTTTTCTTTAAAACCTATAAATATGTACCATTGAGAAAATACCATTGAAAATTACCATTGAAAATCACCACTGAAAATTATCACAACAGGTAATAACCAAAAAAAAAAAATGAGAGAACAAAAAAAAGACTTCGATTTAGCCAATACAAGTTTACTAATCGATAATGTCATCTAATTGATAATGACATTCTTGGTATTTACTTATTTTATTGATATTTATTTTAATTAGTAATTTTAAAGAAATATTAAAAAATTGAATAAAGGAGAAAATCGAAACAGAAAGAGAGAGAGAAAAAAAAGGAAATAAAATTCTCGAAAATAATATAATAATTATATGACAAATGTTCATGGCTGAATAATCAGAAAAAACAATGTGAACGCGTGATAAATGATGATAGGTGGGATGATGCGGTAATGTTGTAGGATGTTGTGGGATGTTGTGGGATGTTGTGGAATGCAGATTAATATTTCAATTTACTTAAACATTTAACACAAAAATTTATTTACCTATTTTTAAAGAAAACATGTATATTACGTCAATATTCCTTTTTAAGAATTTGATATTAACAAAGCCTTGTACTACGTTTTTCTTTTTTTTTTGTTAAAATTTAAAATTATCATAAACGTGGAAAAAATAATCTTATTTTCTTACTTACTTTTTAAACAAATGTCAAGAGTAACTTCCAAACCACCAGTATTACCTCCTTTATTAATTCATAATTCTCCTTATTCAGGAATAAAAGATATTGACTCTTCTGTATGGTCATTAACTAGTACTAGTGATTCGACAACCTCTACTTCTTCTAGTTCATTTATAAATGATTCAAATAATCAAAAAACTGAAATAACAACACCTCCTCTACGACAAACAACAATTCAATTTGATTTATCACCCAGATTAAGTAATAATAATAATAATAATAATAATATACGGCACATCCCTAACACGGCGACGCGACAACCACAAACTTCTATATTATTATTACCAGCATTTTCTTCCAGTACTGTGACTCCTCAACAATCGCAACAAACAAATTTGAGGGATACTCGAATACCATTCACATTATTGAACAATAACATCAACAACAGTAATAATAATGCTAAGAGACGATGTCATTTAACAAGAAATAGTAAACCAAGAACATGTAAAGAATTATGGAATTTGCCATGGATGGATAAAGAGAATGGTAATAAATTGACAGCGAAATTTTGGTTTGCTTTATTGTTAATAATTATTTTATTGGTAATATTGAGTATTGTTGGTAAGTAATTATTATTATCATAGTTATTCCGTTTATTTTTATATTTATTTTATTCTTTTAATTTTAATTTAAATTTTTTTTTTTTATTTTAATAATATTTTAATTTATCCTTTTTTTTTTTTGTTTTTAAATAGGAATTTCAATATTTTATGAAGAAATTTAATTATAAGAAACATCATAAGAATTCTTACCATAACGCATAATGCATAATTTTATAATGTATCATTTTGTAATTTATCTATTTTAACTGTACATAGTTTATTAAGTAAACAACAAAAATCCAACACTGGAATGGATTTAATGAGAGCAAAGATGATGGTGGGGAAAAAGAGGAATGTGGCAATCCCTTTCAATTAGTCAAGAATTGAATATATTTTAATTGATATTTATACTAAAAGTAGGAAAAAAAAAGCATTCAACGGAGAAACATTATGTATAATCGAAAAGTTATTATGATATCCTGTAAAAAAAAAACCTCTCTAACAAAAAAAAAATATTGGTGGGAATTTTTGAATTTTTTTCTTTTTTTTTGAAACAGCAATTGGGAATTAGTAAATTATGATTTTTTACAATTTAAAAATTAATTTACACAAAATAATGGTAATTTTATTTCAGTATCACACTGTATAATGGCATGATGTTTATATGTTGTTTGCTCCGAAGATAAAAAGGTGAAACTTGATTCCTTTTTTTTTTTTTTTGCAAAAGATATGAAACAATTGGAGAGAATTTGGATGGATGAATAATTTTAATGAATGATAAATGTTTAATTACTATTAGGTTAAACTTATGTAATTCGCATAAATTAACAAACAAGTCAAAATCAGCTCGCGTATCGCACAATTTTATTGGTTTAATTTATTGTGCGTGCGAATCTATAAATAAATAAATGAATAAATGAATAAAATTATTATGTAATTACTTGGTTACATTCAAAAAAAAAAAATGGAATAATATTTGTTGGTTATACATAAAACGAGAACAACGTAAACGAATTAAAAAACAAAGAATTTTTATTTATCTAGTCCTGATTCATAATTTCGAAATGCTTGGGAAATTATTTCACTATTCAGCTGATGCTATTCTTATAGCTACCATTTTGGCAGGTGTTAAACGTTCAACTGGATTAACGTAAGTCTCATATATGTTTTATATATTATTTTATCAATACAAAATTTATTTTCTTTATTTCTTCGTTGTCAACATCAAAAATCGAATTAAATCAAATTAAATAATTAAATAATTAAATAATTAAATAATTATCAATAATTAAATAATTATCAATAATTAATAATTGAATAATAATAAAAAAATTCAGATTCAATCCAAGTCGAATTGAAAATGCAGCATTACGAAGTGTCGTTGAAAGTTTTCTTGGTATTGGTGAATGGTTATTTGATAAAAGTATTGGATACGTGAGTACTTCGGAATATTTTGAAAGGAGACGAAATGGAAATGAGAATAGAGTGTTAAGAGAATAAGTTAACGTTATAAGTTAACGTATCATCGATTATTATGACAGAATGTTAAATTATAATTGTATAATTGTATAATTGTAGAAATTTAGATTATTTCGTTGTAATGAGAGAATTTTTAATGTAGTATGAATTTTAGTTTAGTATATAGGTAGAATGTGAATATATATTTCTATCTATTATATATCCATATCTATATCCATATCTATTCTATCTATTCTATCTATAGAAAGAAAGAAGAAATCAATATTTTCATGAATGAGAAAAAAGCGAGATTTAAATTATAATACAACTGAAATTAATTAATTAAAAAAACTGAATAAAAAAAATCTGATTAGAAATTATTAGAGAATATTTTTCTTTGTTGTATAAAAAAGAAGAAATTTAAATGTGGGAATATATATTTATTATGAGAACATATTTTTATTTATTATAGAAATTCTAAATAATAATAATAATAAACTACTTAATAAGTATTTAAACTTTTAAAATTGTTTAAGATCACTTGTGGTAATTGTCACCACTGGGCAAAATTAGGGAATTATGTAATTTTGTCCAGTGGTGACAATCATTACTGGTGAGCTCAAGTAATTTATATTGTTTCAACATACAGTACCTTATGTTCATAATAAACATTATTTAAGGATAATATAGTAATTTCATATCACTAGAATTTCTCTCATAATGTTTATATGATTATATGATTATAGCAATAAATTAATATAATATAAGAAAATAATACAAACCAAATTTGTATTAAAGAATGTGAGGATTGTTCTTTTGTCAAATTCTTCACTTTTCACATTTTTGATTCGTTGATTCGTTGCAACGAAATCCGTATCGAAAATTAATTAATATATTTTTCTCAAATTTTATAGTTTATTGCAGTAAAATAATTTTGTACTATTAAAATATTTACACATATTGGGAATCATATGAAATCATGTGTACATTGTATAGAAAAAAATTTAAAAATAATAAAATGTTAAGTATTTTTCCATCAAACAATAAATAAATTAAAATAAATTAAAGGTAGATATTTCGTTATTGTTAAGACTAAAATGTAAACATGCCACACTTAAAAAATAATCAGAACATAATTAGACAAAGGAAGAAAAAATAAAGATTATTAAATTTTTGTTATTAAATACACAATATTATTGTTAAATTTTTATTATGATTATTATCTTATTATAATAATTAAACAATTATTAAATTATTAAAACTAAATCGATCGAAGATTGATAAAGTTTAATAAACTCTAATAAAACTTTAATAAACTATATATTTATAAATAAAATTTTTTACGTCCCTAAACTCTTCCGATTCTTTTCTTCATATTTTTCATTATACTCTTTACAAAGATGATCTCTATGGGTTGTAACACCAAGTGAACTCCTATTTGTTCTACAAGAAATTCCTCTTCTAGCAACTAAATAAGTAATTAGAGCTTGATCTTGACGATGATTTTTTCTACTACTACCAGGTGGTGCTATACATTCTTTATTTAATGCACATTTATACCAATCATCAATTATAATTTGACTAATTTTTGTATCAAATGCTAATGAAGCAGCATTACAATTATTTAATTCATCATATAATGTATGATTATCATTAAAATAATCATAAACTCCAGGATGTATCCATTCTTTTGCTTGACCAGGGGAATTAGGTGAAATAAATCCATGAAATTCGGGCATCCAATCTTTTAAATGTGTAAAATATTTTTCACTTCCCACATTACCCGCATCCATCCAAACCAATATTTTACCGGGATAATCACGTGCTACTTCAGCAATCATTCCAACTTTCCAAGCATATTCACCTTTATTTTTTTTATTTTTTCTTAAAGTTAAATCCCAAAATGATGGATAAGCCGAAAAATTAAAAACTCGAAATTCTGTTACATAACCAAGTTTTGCTAAATGAATAAAATTTTTCCGATTTTTCTTTTCAAATCCCAAATCATATGCAACAATTCCTACATTTTTTAAACCTAGTGCTTTTAATCGATATATTAAACTTTTCATGGGACAAAAATGATTGTTACTTGCTCCTGTAATTACTATAATATCGTATTTATTTTTTGTGGAGTTAGAGACCTGGGGATGCTTAAACGGTTCCACATAATAAGCATCAAGAGGAAATTCAACTGTAATATTGAGATTATGTGTTGATGATGGAAGAATTTCTTCTTCAGGTTCATAATCTAAAGAAAATAAAAAATAATACATATAATTAATTAATTAATTAATTAATTAATTAAAATATTAAAATATTCGTAATAATAATTAAATTATTTTCATAATAATAATTAAAATATTAACAATGATAATTGAAATATTAATAATAACAAAAAAAATACATTACCATCTGAAATATCTTGAAAGACGTACGCTCGCGTTAATAATAGTATTGCAATAAACGTTATAAAGAATATTTGAACTTTTTGTTTCAGCTTTATCGAACCAATTTTCATTTCCATTATCGCAGAATATTCTTTTAAATATTAATAAAGAAACCCCTCCCGAACGAAGTTATTGTTCTTAATATAATATTAATCAAATAAGAAATGAATGAATGAATGTTACGAAGAAATTCGTTTTTTAGGAAAATATATATATATGCGCTGATATTTTTTTTTTTTTTTTATTCGTTGATATCCTTTATATTATGTATCTTATATACATATATATATATTTTATAAGAGTAGAACAAAAATTTTTTGTTGATTTAAATTTATTCAATTTCACTATGGCTTTATAAAAAAATTTCTTTTTTTTATAAACAATTACGGAAACAATCTTGTATTTCAATTTCGGTATTTCATTTGTTCGAATAATTGACCACAAACCTAGTTTTTTAATTAATTGTTTCTTTTTTTCAAAAGAATTTATTAATCATTTCCTTATATAGAGATTTCTATTTTCCCGATTCTGTTGTGTAAATGACAATTTAATTTGACTCCCGTTTTTGAGATACATGTTATAACCTATTTTATTTTTAATTTTTTTATTTTATTCTATTTTTTATTTGATTTCTTATTTTTATTTTCTAATTTTTTATTTTTTTATTTTTTTTTTTTATTTTATTTTTTTATTTTTTCAAGATCATGTAAAATAAGTACATTGACGTAAATCATTATAACTCATGTGACCAAGGTATTACAAACTTAATGAACTCAGAAAAGACAATAATCTTTTCTTTTTGCAATTAAAGGATTAGATTAATCGAAATGCATGCTGTTTAAATGAACTTTTGATGGATTAAATAAATAAATTGTGATACCTACCAAACAGAAAGACTTTAGAATTATTCTAGATTGTGACAACAACAATAATAATTATTATTATTATTATTAGAATGATGCTAATTTTCACCGGTTACATGTAGTTTTTTTCTTATTATTTATTATTATATTATTATTATTATTATTATTATTATTATTATTATTATTATTATTATTATTATTAAATGCAAATGCATCAAAGATTCAAAATAAACGTATTACACATATCGTAATGTTTACTGATTATAACGACATCGACATCAACCACTACCGCTCCTTCATAATGAATTATATCATTATATAATTATTGAATGTTTTAAGATTTGATGGAAGGTCAAAATATGGAAAGCTGATATTAACCAATAATTTGATTAGCTTTCACTATCATTGACCAACTTTAACTGGAATAGTAGTGTAGTAACAGTATATCTTTCTATATAAATTCCTTCAACCTCAATCACATCAAGGAAATGACTTGTCGATAGAAAAAAATGCTGCAAAAGAATTTTTTATTATTATTATTATTTTTTTTTTAAAAAAAATAATCATATTAATACAAATCAACCAGTTATTATGTTAAGGTGATATAAAGAATTACCTAGCATTTAATGACACGAAAACGATATCGTTTTCTGAACACAAAAAAGTAAAATTCTCATATTCAACATCATTACATCGGGAACCAAAGAATTATTTGGATTTGGCTAAAATTTATAAAAAAAATAAAATTCATTTAAAGATAACAAGGATAACAAGTGCTTCCGTGAGACACCAATCATCATATTCATTTAAGTATGGATCGATCTTCAGGATAATTGCCCAAAAATTCCATTGGTTATAATGTTTAATATAAAAATTTTATATTTTATATTACATTGTGTTTTTATTATGTTATTATGTTTAATACTTACTACCATGTACCGAGTTCCTCGTTTTAAAATATCATGAGCATGAAAACTTGTAATCCTTTCTTAACTATTCTATCCCCTTTAATGGAATTGTTCGTTAAAGTTCCAAACAGGTCGAGTAACACCACCACCTGGTGCTAAACTAATGACAATAAAATTAACAAGTGTCTTGGATGATAAGACAAGACAATTTCGATAATTCTGTGGATGACAAACCGATTTTTCTATTCCCTCCGAAAACACTTCTTTATTAATTATTACTAGTTATCGCATTCACAACACAAATTATTATCCAAATAATGAAATTACAACAACGTAATAGCAGTAAAAGCGAATGTTTATTAATTTTCCAAAAACGCCTGATTCATCTATTTTTTTTTTTTTTCAATAAAATAAATTTTAGATTTAAAACTTTTCAAAGAAACTATTGAATATATCAAAAAAGTTTTATTAAAAGACTTAAATATAATTTTATTTTGAAATTTTTTCGTCGCACTTAAACAAAAGTCACGACATATTTAGAAAGCCAGAAAACAAAAAGGTTTGAATGACTTGAAAAGGCGTCATTGATGTTTCTCTAATTTTTTTTTCATTATTTTTCTAAGGCTTAGTCATTTTAGAAAAATCGAACTCTCTCAGAAAGCGAAGAATCAAAACGATTAATAATTGTTATTAAAGCCAGTCTCTTTTTTTATAAACTAGGGGAGTCTTGCACGTCCCAATGTTATATTAATTAATAATAAATATACCGTAAGGTCAAGGGTTTAAATTATTTGATGCGTTCAATAAAACTGTGGCTAGTAATTCTCTCTCATATAAATGTTGAATGTTTTTTTCCAAATATTTTCATTTAATCCTTTTTTTACATCAATCATAGAAGTAATCTTCAAAATAAAAGCTTCAATAAAATTTTAAACAATGATAAAAAAAATAATTGCCATCATAATTTGAATTCAAGATTTTATTTTAAATTACTTAATTTATTTATCTATTGTCTTTTTTTTTGTTAATAATAAAAAAGGTGAATTACTGAATTTTAAAATATTATAAAGGAAAGTAAAAATTATATGAAAATGAATAATCTTATATATAAAGAATTAAAATTTATAAATAAATTAAATTAAAGAATTCACTAATATAGTAGTCACATGATTGTATTACTCATTATCACTTAATAATTCCCAATCGTCAACAATATTATCTTCACTAGTAATATTTACGGGCAATTGTTTACTGGAATTATTTTTGCTATTATCAATATCAGCATCCCATGAATCAACTGTATGTGATGATTCATAATTTTTGACATTCATCAACATTTCGAATGAATTTTTGTTATCTATTGATATCGATGATGGAACCGCAGTAACCTTTGATCCGCGATTGTTTAACAATTTACTTCTTTCTCGCCAAGTAACTTCATATTTGGAATTAACCCAACACAATTCCGCGTTCCCAACAATTCCTTTCGAAATCAATATATCTTTGGCAGATAGCTTCAGTTTCATTAACAAGGCTTCTAAATCATTCATTTGCATTGAACCAACGAATGGTATAATGATTACATCTTCATCGTTGATCCATTTGGTTTGACAAGCAATTTTGCCTAATAATGAATCTAAATTCTTTTGTAATTCTTCCTTTGTTAATCCTTTATTCAATTCCACTAGATACAAAGCATTAACTGGTTGCTTCGGCTTACGAATTGATTGTTCTGGAGTCGTAATAGATGATGAGGAAGATACATTTGCCAAAGATTGATTTCCCATCTTACCATACTTTGCATAAGTTTGAGAAAGCAATATTGGGGGACTTTGATATTTTAAAAAAATTTTAATAATCAATATTTATCAAAAAAAAAAAGAGACAGAATTTTGGATAATTCTTTATATTTACATTGTAGAGTCGGATTTTTTCTTCACGATAATACTTCTGTATGGTTCTACGTCAACGCTTTCGGATGTTAATCGATAATGAACACATAATCCATGTATGAAATGTCTATGAGATGACTTCATTGGAGAAAAATTCAATGTTGGTTTAACAGACTTGATAAATTCAGTCAAGGTATTTTCAATATTTTTAGCCCACTCCTTATTAGTTTCATAATATTGAAGTAAAAACGTATCATATTCGGGAATCTCTTTAATCAAATTTCTACAGCATACATAAAAATAAAATAAAATGAGTAAAAGAGGAAAAAATTAAATATTCATTATTTATATTCATTATTTTATTTCTTTTTAACTTACCCATCAACAATACGATCACTCAATTCTAATGCATCTGCTAATTTTCGATTTCTTTCAATCATTGCACAAAAATCATTACAATCTAACTGTCGATCTTTATCCGCTGGATTTTCCACAGTCGAATTACAGGTCACTTCTCGAGATAAATTACCACATTTGCAATTAATTGTTATTTTTTGTAAACATGGTGTCTCTTCAGGACATCTTGAAGGAGCGTGACATCTAAAAAGATAATATTTGATAATATTTTAATTAGGACAATCTTTTATTAATCTTCGAAAATCTAATGACTTATACAGTAATTTTACTTACGTAGAAGTACAAGGGTGTCCACAATCTTTACGTGGTTTTCCACATATTTGATTACATATTTGCGGATCGAGACAATCTCCTGAATGACATAAACGTCGGCAACGATGGCCTCCACAATATAAAGGGCGATCACATTCTTTTCCGCAACTAACATTCGTCTTATGACATCTAACATTATTAATTGTGGATTTACCACATATACATTTTTTATTATTAACGAGGTACGGACATGGAGGGCATGGCTCCGAATCAGGATGACAATTATGCGTAACAGCTGCATGGTTACATGGAGGAATTCGAGTACATGGAAATTCACATTTAGGAATTTCCATCCCACATGGAATTGGGGGATAAATTTTGGTTTGACCACAATGACATGATAATTCCTCAAAAGTTGCCTCTAAGCAACGCATACAGGGTCCTGAATGACAAAGAAGTTGACAGTTGTGTTTTCCACATTGTAATTTCTTCCCACATATTAAAGTGCAAATATGATTTAGATCTTCCTCTTCTTGAGGAATAAATCTCCTCTTGGAATGTTTCTGTTTAATGTTAGCCGAAGGACAACTAAAAATTATCAATAAGCATTAGTAATAAATTCATATACTATATCAATAAATCAATAAATATATTAATAAACATTAAAACTAACCATTTGGTATTACATTCATGCTTTCTACAATTTCTCAACATTTTACATATTTTCTCACATAATGGTGGTTCACCGGATTTTCCTGTAACTTCAGAACATATCTTTTCAAATTCGGTGCTACCGCAACGACATTTAATGCGAACTTTAACGGTACAAGGTTTGCATTCTCCATAATGACAAACATCTGTACAAGAATGGCCACACATCAAAGACTTTCTACAGGGATTCCCACACAGGGGAATTTTCTCAGTGCATGACATCCTTTCGCATCCAAGTAATTCTTCTATAGAACGTGCACCACAAGGACAATTTTTAACTCGTGAAGGATCCAATAAACATGGTTCAGCTTCACCGCTGTTGGAATGACATTTTCGATCACAATAATGTTTTCCACAATCAAGTAATCGTGAACAAACACAATCACAAGAAAAGAAGCCAGTCCAGTCATCAGAATTGTCATTTGAATTTCTATAACAATGAATGGGATTTCCTTCACCACATTTGGCCTCACGTTCTGTTTGACCACAATAACATTTTTGTATTTCAACAACATCACATCTTTTACATGAACCATCGTGACAATCTTGTTCACAATAATGTTTTTCGCATCCAAGTAATTTACCACAGGTAGTTCCACAAGACCTTCCACCTGAATAATCGGTATCGACACAACGAAGTTGAAATTTCTCACGACCACAAAAACAAGGTTGAACTGGTCCCATAGCAGAGCAAGTGCGATCGCACGGGCCAGGATGACATAACCTTTAAACATGAATATTCGATATGATATGGGTTAAATAGAAACTTTTTATATAAATAAGTTAAATAATAAATTTTAAAATTTTTTAGTACTTACTGAGTACAATCGTGAAGTACGAGATTCAT